AACTACATAATACTAAAAAATGAAAAATATTGTAACATAAAATTTTTTATAAATATTAAATATTTTTCCATACGAGAGAAGGTGACGAATTTCACCAGGCAGTCAACACGTTAGATAAATTTCATTTTTAAAAAAATGTTTAAAATGCATCGGATATCTTTCTCCAAATTTTTCTATGCGAATAAACGTGTATATAATCACAAAGCTACGAATGCATAAGCCTCTGCCGAGTATTTGGAAAGAAAATAAATTTGATCTGCGTAGATGTTGTTGTTTCTTTATCTTCCGTGATTATGAATCTGCTTCTGCTTTACTATGGTTCAAAGCAATTCGAAAAATGATTGATATAATACAGAGTTCCTTTCTATGATGATTTTCTCAAGTGATAACGTGTACAGACAAAAACTGAGCGAATAAAGAAAAGCCAGTATTATGTTTGTTAGATAAATCGATAAAAAAAATATTGTAGATGAAAGATATCTTGTTAAGAAGTATGAATTAAACTTATTGAAAGTAAAGATCGTAGCATGTAAAATAATGTCACACGTAAGAAATAAGAAGCGAAATTAGTTTTCATGCGTCTTTCAAACGGTGGACCTTTCGCTAGAATAAAGTGTAAAACTTTAGGATAAAACAAAAGATAGGCAAGATTTTATAATGTTCATGTAACTACTTTTGTAATACTCATTTTACAAAAAATTATTCACATTTCTGAAATTGTAGTACCGTTGCAGAGAAACGTTTTTGAAGGAAAACAGAAAAATGTTTTTGAAAGAAAAACTGTTAAATGAAAATAAAATCAAGAAAAAAGAAAAAGGTCCAAAGTTGAGAGGAGAAAGTATGATAAGTGTAAGTAGAGTAGTGTAAAGACTAGTGTATATACCTTTATTTACGCGTGGAGGTTCATCTGTCGAGACGAAAAGTTGAAGAACATAACCATTGGTGTTCATGCAAAAGAAACATCATGTAATATCTATATAAAACTTCATCACCGATGAGATATCACATGCAGACGATCATGTCGTTGACAATTGTTCAAGAGAACAAATGATAAATATATCACTTCAAAATGAACAAATATAAACAACACTACTTTGCAAAACAACATGCTACCTTAACGTGCTAAATTATAAGTACAATGAAACGTCAATTATCCAAAAATTGATTAAATAAACGTATTATGTACTTATGATATCTATAAATCTAAATTCTACATCCAATTCATTAACTTTGATATTTATATTTTTATCTATTTTTATGTTTGATCATTATTATAGCTTCAAGTATCTATTTTTAAAAACCACAATAGTTTAGATTCTCTTTGACACAGCTTATACGTCAAAGTAAATTTGCTTATCATAACATTAATTCAGATAGTCGACACTTCACAATACTATTGAAAAATATAAACTATTGATTGCTCGGTTACAAACAAATACTAATATCCAACTCCGTGTTAGCTACTTGTTAGAAGATACTCTCAGCATAAACAAAGTATTCTGGCATTAGTGTCATTTGTATGTTAATCGTTACTGAACAACGTACACAGATCTGCGTAAATGGAGTATAAATTATACTATTGAGAGCACCGAGGAGAAACATAAAAAAAAGAATGGTGATGTAATGATGCGTCTTAGTACTGTTGCTCCAAACTACGCGTTAATTACTTAAAAGAATAGACAAGCTGTAAATTGAAGACACATGCTTGTTAATATACCTCACGTCTGATCGTTACGACGCCGTAAAGAGGCCATATTCTATTTCATATTACTCTGAGAATATTTCCATCGCAATCACTGTTACCATGTACATAGCAATCTCCTTGCAAGGAGAAAGAAAGGATAATTATCGTCTAATAATTAAAGGAAAGGGTATGTGAACTCTGGTTCGTCTTCTCCTTGGAGGCAGTAAATTAAAAAAGCGTATACAGTGGTGGACAAAAGGAAATTTAAAATTGGTCTTTGTCTATGATCTTAATAGCTCTCTTACTAGACATGTTTTCATAAATTCAGTTGTTTTTTTACCTTCTGTCGTAATTCGTGTTTGTTCCTCCATTACTAAAATTCATCGAAAATGGCCATTGATAAAGTGCATGTTCGTCGTTATTTTACGAGTTTAAAAAATGCATCTGGACGATTAAAAGCAGCAGATAAGAGCAAACTTGCAGGCGACAATTATCATGAATCGTCGAATTAGAGTTTGCATCGAAGTTCAATGTATCCCAACACAATAAAAGTGCAATATACCTAAAATAAGAATGCACTTGAAACTTCCTGTTCAATTCAGTATATTATATTAGGTCTTCGTCGACATAATCCCACTTTGTATAATTCTAGATGATCTCGTGGGAATCGCTCTTTAAACTTTCTTCTGTCCGCCGCTGTATATCTACCTCGTAGCTCTCGGCGCCCGAGCGACCAAAAAAATAGCCTTGTGATCTCTTCTAAGGTTTTACCAAAATCTCTCTATACCTCTTTCGATAACACGCTAATGCCTCGATTGAAACGCGTGTCAATCGTACGCGCCAAACATGTTCGCTGGCTTACCTTTTCCGTACAGGATGGGCACGTGATCGGTGGCCAATCTCGTTTTTGTCTTAATACCGACGAGCAACGGCGATCCTCTTCTCGTCGCCACGCATTCAGCCGGGAAATATTTGCTCTTGAAGCACAGTGCAAACGCACCTTCCTACAATTTCAATTTTTCCTCCTTTTAATACACACATGCAACAACGATATATCTATCGTATATAATGAAAATGTGAGTGGATACAGTAATAATAATAATAATAATAATAATAATAATGAGTAAATATATAATACAAGTGGAGATTACAAGTGGAAATTGAAAAAGGAAAAGATTAAATTCACTCGCTGTCTTATCTCGAAAGTTATCTTCATAATTGTTACCAATGATGATATTGTTACTACTAACAACGATCAAATCCACAGCTGTACGAACGATCAATTATCGTTGAGAATACCCACCAGTTGTTGAACAACTTGCTCGACCAGCTCGCGGAACGAGTAAGCCGGATGTTGTACCCAGAGATGATGGATCAGCTTGGCAATTACTTCCGTGTCGGTTTCACTCTCGAAACTGTAGCCTCTTTGCTGAAGCAACGTCTTCACTTCCTTGTAGTTTGTCACGATACCTTTAGAAAGAACGTGACTTTGCAAACACAACTTTTTTTTCTGTTAACTAGACTGTAAATGTGTCAATTTGTATTATCTTTCAAACGTTGTACAAAAATAGCATTCTACACTTTATATACTTTATTCGTTTATCTTACTTACATTCGCATTCTATATAGAATGAAGAAAATTTACAATCTAAAATTTACCTCATCTTCTAAATGTTACATGGAACTACTATTCTTTGGATATTTTATAGGTTTGCGGATAATTGTTATAAATTAAGTAATAACTGTACCATTGTGCACCACAACGAAGGCGTGCTCGCTGTCGGACCTCTGGGGGTGCGAATTCACTTCAGATGGGACACCATGAGTCGCCCAACGAGTATGTGCGATACCCACGTGGCTGTATACCTTCGATTCAAAGTCGATATTGGTATCTGTGTGAAAAAAAAAAAAAAAAAAAAAACATACAACGATCTTTTTAGAAAACTGATCCTGCTGGTGGACGATCTCTTTCTCATATTTACCTTGACAAATTTTCGTTATCCATTACATTGAGGTACAACGTAAGGTAAACGATAATATACTTACGATAAAAGATCTCTTCTTCGAGCGCCTTGACCTTTCCCTGCTTTTTAATAATCGAGATATCCTTGCCATCGGCGCTGTCAAGGGCGACACCTGAAAGAACATAAAACTTGCATTGGGACGGTGTCACTTTCATCGAGTTTTTAGCAGCTTTCTATTTTCTAAGCTCAAGTAGAATTTTCGAAAAATTCGACGAAAAAATTTTCTCCCCCTCCTTTGGTTTTTTCCCCTCTCTTTCTCTTGGTCGATTAGCTGAAGATCTTTCGACAATGAGATCGACGACCTACCTGCCGAGTCATAGCCTCGATATTCCAGCCGTTTTAATCCACCAACTAGCAACTCGAGAATTTCCTTTCTGCTCTTCGGCGTCAGATAGTTGAGGTACGCGAAAATTCCTAGAGAAAAGGGAAATTTGTCATTTATTCTTCTGTATTATTTATTTGTGTTAAATATTAGTAGATTTAAAATAAGAATTTCAGATACGAAAAGTCATCCGTCACTTTCGATTATATCTTCCCAGACGAATGGAAAATTTATCGTTAGGATATTTCTACGATGCAACGAAAAATCTGGGCAAAGAGAAAATTCATCGTTCCCTTATTTCGTATGAATTTCCATTACATTAGAAAATCATTCGTACTATTTGTAATTCACTTACGTATCGCGATCAATTTCCATCGACTTTTTTCAATGCACAGAGTAGGTAGCGTAGAGTATTCGAAATATCACTTCAGGATTAAAATGAGCAGAATGAATTGCTCAACAACCATTTAACATTTTCAACAGACGATTAATCATCGTTTCCACTGGTGTCTTTTACCATTCTCTAAGAGAAAGAGAACGATATACATTCATCGACATTTTTCCACAACGCATTTTCCACTGCTCGAAGGTCACCACGCGACGATAAAACGCAAAAATCATTCTCTCTATTGGCCAGTTCGTTCTCTTCATCCCTACTCTGTTGTCTATATTCAACGAATTCTCGGAGCTCGAAATTGAAAATTTTGTAACTCGATGGATTTAATTAAACAGCACCTGGGATTCATTCAAGATTTCCAACGTTTCACATTTAAGACTAACTTACTTTAGGATAGTTGAACAAAACCTTATCTAACCTATTGGTTTAGTAAGACACTACATCACGATTAAAATTGTAGGAAATTTCTCCTCGAAACATTCGTGAAGCATTGAGAAGATAATCAGAGAAAATAAAGAAGAAAGATCGTGCAAATATAGTCGATTTCGTAAATAAATCCAATCTGTACAACAGGATCGAGATAACTTGGAATAAAGATCATTTTATTATATCAACTCGGGTCAAAATTGAAAAGTTTGAACGAAATTTAAAGAGTGTCAGCTACTTTAAAATTAACAGTGTTATTAACTATTGAAGCGCTACACAGATATACCTATTAATAACTAATATATGTATATACTATTACATGTGATGTTTTACTATTTATTAGAATACTATTGAGCGTGGCAATAGTTGAACTATTCGACTATATTAAAGTATTCAAGTGTCATAAAAGACAAACGATCGAGAGAATACTCCATTTCGATCCTCGAAAGCGTGTAATTGATTTCTGCGTTATGAAGAGAGAAAATAAAAATTATTTTTCCTATGTATATATACAACACAGTACGTAGCGCTTTTAGTAGTTTAATAAAATAGAATTCATCATTTAGAACAGAACTACAAAGCTACAAAAACACGTAAGACACTGAAAATCGATTTAAGCTCAATGTTCAGAAGCCACGTTCGTCTTTCGACGAGTTTGCATGTAAAAACCTTTCATTTTTTAATCATTCGTTTTTTTT